TGCAGACAGGTGTCTGCTTCACGGCTCATCCCTCCCTTGGCAGTCCCAGCAAAACTGTGGGGGCTGCAAGGAACAGAGGAAATCAGGGGTGGACTGAAGGACAGGGAATCCAGGAGGACTGGGTCTCGTTTGGGCCACTAATGTGCCCTTAAATAACAGTGAAACCCAAAAAAACCCCATACCACAGCATAAAACCCCAACACTGCCCATATGGGAAACACACCACGCCTTGCTAGCCCTCACCTCTAACAGTTAGCTGTTAGCTGAATCCTGCTAGCAACAGTAGAAACTAGGTCCTGTTCCCACCTGCTTCCTGGGCACGGAGCAGACAACCAACCTTTTCCCCTGGCCCAGGTGAAGGATCTGCTGGTCCCGACACTCTCTGCCTCTGGCATAGTTGGCTCGTTCTGCCAAGGCTGTGGGTGCAGCTCAATGGGTTTGCTGCTGCTCTTCAAAGGTGTGATGTACTTGGGCAGCCCTTTGTAGAACCATGCACCAGATCTTTTCCAAACCTGTCAGAGACAGAGACACAGCACTTTAAAGCCTGGGTTTTTACAGTGAGAGAGCATGACTATCAGGAAATGAGCTCCCCACCAAGCTTGGCTCAGCCATTCCCTCTGAGCTGCCTTGACCACACTCAAAGACTGGAAGGTAAAGCCTGTTGGGAAAGCACAAAAAGAAAAACTTTCTGGAGACAGCATGCAGGTGCCATGAGTGGCAATAGACTCAAACACATGCTCTGCTTAGAGTAAAATAAACCCTGCACTGGCTGGAGGAGCAGCAAGCCCTGCTGAGTCTCTCCTCCTGGGCCAGGTCCCTCAGCCTGGGTTGCTTAACTTCTGAGGGAGTCAAAGACCAGTAGCAGTTGGGGAATGGGACAACACAGGTGTCACCTCATGCTGTACCAAATGGCACAACCTCAATGTTCATCTCACAGAGCAATTCAGGCCAAGCAGATTATTTAATGAGCTTGAAACCCCCAGGATGAGAAGAACAACACTCAAATAACCTGAACCTGCAGCAGGAAATGGACTGCAAGCACTAAACTGTAATATCTCCTGTAAGAAAGGCCTCTTGTCTCCAATTCAGTTTTAATGCAGCTTGTGATGAAGGCTCTCTATTAACTATATTTAATATAAAGTCTGCTGTGAGCCAGAGGAAGGGAAAAGGGTGGCAGCTCAGACAAGGAGAAATGGCCCCTACAAACCTAATTCATTTGTGCCTCCCAGCAGTCTAATAATGAGCTAATGAGATAGCCAGGGCAGAAATAAGTTAATATAGTAAAAATATAATTTTCTATTTCATGCAAGGGGTTGAAACTTTGCACTTCTGTTCAGAGTGAAGGAGATTATCAGCATTCCCACCCCAAGCTCCCAAAGTGTTTTACAGACAGTATCACCATGATGGCAATGGGTGCAAATGCAGATATCCCTAACTGCAGAAATGCACTGAAATTTGCATTTAGAGCAGTGACAAGACCTGGCACCCAGGAGTTCTCATACAGACACAAAAAGCAGGACACCAGCAGCTCTGTTTCACTGATGGGAGGAGATTGCTCAGCAGGTTGCCTGGTTCCTAGCCCAGAGCCATCAACACAGAGAGCTCAGATCTCTGTGTTTGGGGTCTTGAAAGCCAAGTGAAGGTGTTCTGAGTTCAGAGGGGAAGCTAGTAGTGTGGTTTTTAAAAGAAGAGCACCCAGCAGAAGAAAGCAGAGCATTGCTGGGACTCAGCACACACATCAGTTACTTGAAGAGTGCACGAGACACACTCGTGCACCACAGTAGGATCCAGAAACCAGAAGGTGAGAGCACCCTACAAATACACCAACGTTTTCCTGCTGGGTAACAACCCAGCAGGATGGTGAGTCTGTCATCCAAGCAAAGAGCTGGGAAGCCAATTCCCCAAGACTGCACGTTCCTCTTCTACAGAGGGAGCCTTGGCAGGCAGGACACTTCCCTAGCTTCTTCACCACTATGCAAACAGCCAAAACAGAGACCCAACCAGTCAAGGCACAAGCTGACACAGCTCCTTCTGTCCCCTCTGCCAGCAGTGCTTGGTACAGTGTGTACAACAGCACAGAGCAGTGCAGCACAGAGACCCTGGAGGAACAGGCTCTGCTATCCCTACAAACTCGAGAATCAGGAAATGCAATGTTCCTTAGACCTGGGACAAACATCTCTACATGGAGCTTAGCTGACTGCAGCTCAGATAAACATGCACCAAGCAGGAGCTGCAGGCTGGGCAAGCCCTGGTCACCTTTGTCTGAGGAAGGCTGGAGGCCTTGGGAGCAGCAGGAGAAGAAAACTGCAGCAGACAGGGGGTTGAATGCCTGTGCCATGGCTTGAGGAGGGCAGGTCATCCATCCCCTGCTGCACACTGGGTGTGCTGGATCACACATACCTTCCCTGTATAAACTGTTGGGGAGGAAACAACCCTTTGGTGCAGTTGCTCTCTGAACAGACCTTGCAACATCTGTAATTTAATTTGAAGCACTGGAGAGACCTATTATCTTCAGGCGAACTACAATTTGGGCACACCATAAAACCAATCAGACACAGCATGGATTGTTGGAACAAAGGCTGGTCACCCCCAGGTTTCTCACTACCCCAAAGCAAGTCGTTACAGAAAGAGTTAATGATATAATACACCCAGCTCTGATGTGGTAATACTCGTATAAAATTGATTCTCTGCATACATATTCGCTTTAAATTGGTGCTTCTAATAGAGTTTGGACTTCTTACAGCAGCATTGAAATTGTTTTGAGATCAGCTCTAAAAGAGCTGCAGCAGGATGCTCTGCCCTGTTTGAATTCAGTCCCTCTGCCCTGCCTGGTTAGCAGCATGGCCCAGCCCAAATGATCCCAGATCACGTTCTGTTCTGCACACAGGTCAGTTTTAGCATCCATGCATCAAAACAGATCGATGCTGCTGACTGCCATCGATGGCAGCTCGATTGATCTCAAGAGTGGCCTGACAGCAAAGTTCTTGCTTGATTTTAAATTCAGAAATCTGTAACTGTGCTTCAAGAATAAAACTTCTGTTTACCAGCAGGAACCTGCTCTTTCTTAGGAGGAGAGAATGTTGCTCCCACCAGTCCTGTTGCCACGTTAAGGTGAATTCTGTTCCCCAGGGCAGCCTAAGTTTGGGTGGAGCTGGGATTTCACCAAGAGGGACAGCCAGACCCTTCCAGTCTCTTGAAACAACCCAGCATTAAGGAATATTGATCATCCCTTGCTCTGAGTGCTTGACAGAGGGGAATAAAGAGCAGTACCTACATTACCCCAGAGCAGGATGTGGTGACCCAGCGTGTGGCTCGGGACAGAGCAGCCACACCACCATTCACCATCTGTCCCTGGTCCACTGCACTCAAACTGTCCCAAACAAGACCAAAATCCATGCTAAATACTGACTCCCTTAGGCTCTTCATCCTTCTGCCTTCCCTGGCACCTAAAGCAAAGTGGGGGAGGAGAGCTGCTTTAGCATCACACTCCTTTTTTTATTACTTCAAAGCAATTTAATGGTCGTGGCCATGACAAGTCCAGAGAACTCAATGCCTTTTATAACCCTGAAAATGCTCCTATCAAAGTTGCATCAAGCCATCATTACAGCTATAGGATGAGACTCACAGAAGCAGATGCTTATTTTATTGAGCACTTTCAAGTGCAGCCTGTAAATGGGACCTAACAGAGAATCACTGGGCCCTGCTGAAACACATGTTATTGCTCAAACTTCTCCGAGCACACAAGTGCTAAAACAACCTCCTAAACAGGGAAAACATGAGGACTTGCTGATGAAGGAATGGGATCACAGCTGAAGGAAACATAACAAACACTTGCAGCCCCCCCAGAGTTCGCTTCACCAAACAACACCCCAACAGGGATGCTTAGAAAGGATTGTGCTTTACCACCTCCTGCTCGTGCCTGTTTTCACCCTGCAGCCTCTTTCTTTGCTGCAGGCTGAGCGGGGTGAGAGGAAAACCACCACCTGTACCCTCCCATGCTGACACCAGCAATACTCCTCAGTCTCCCAAAAGGTGTGGAAGCAGGTTCTCGTGGGCTAGAGTGAAAAGGCCCCTGCAAATGCAGCCACCCCAGGAAGACCTCTCTGCCTGCACACAGCACATGCCCACACACTCACTTTGTCCCAGCATTCTGCTACAGCTCTGGCATACTGCAAACCCCTGGCAGGGAGAAAGAACCAGCTCTCTTCAGCTTCGTTATTTGCATTCATCTGCTTTTCCATAACACAGAGATTTCCAATTACATTATTTACAGCAATCTGTTGTCAACTCCCACATTCAGCACTTGAGGACGAGGAAAATTAAAAGGCAGTGAAATTACTATTCGGAGCTTTGTTTCCGGAATAGCAAAATCCATCGCACCCCTGACCCTGACGTTTCTCAAGCTGCAGTGCTGCCAGCCTTTCAACGATTTATCATTCCCCTTTCAATCAGACCTCTCTTTTTTTTTTCTCTCTCCCTGTGGCTCTATTCTAGAGGACACTATTTTGAGTCTAACTACTTGCTCCCACCCCCAAAATAATACGGCAGAGGCTATTGATGAGTTCTTTCAATTGCAAACAGGTGCACATCGCTTCGATTCAATCCAGATTCACCCAAAATAAACACTCCTCTCCATCGGGATGGGGTTTTTTTTTTTGGCCAGGAAATCATCATGCCAGGCAGGAATAACCCTGGGCTATGTTGCTTTAGAATGTTCAAAATGCTATGAGTGTATATGTAAAAAGGGAAGCCCTGGGGGCAAAAGGGGAGGAGATGACTCTGTTCCTCTAGTGCAGTAATCTCCTTTCCCTGCATGGTTTACTGTGATAAACTGAGAAATGCAGCCAGCCATGAAAACACTGTTAAGTGAGGGAGAAGAAATTAAAAGGGAAGTGAAGCAGAGGGGGAAAATTAAAACTTTTAACAGGTCCCTGGTAGCTGACACTCCCTTTCAGATTCGCTGGGGTTTAAAGCAAAAAAAAAAAAGCTCTCCCCCATCCTCCTGGAACTGCTTTCATTATTGCTACAATTTTGGATGTGTCAATTCAAATGGAAATGTGCACAAATGCTTCCAAGAGGATTTTAATTACAATGATAGCATCGCTAATTATGGATATAGATGTAAAAATATATATATAAAGGGGTAATTCAGGAAGGTGCTTTGCAGAAACTGGTGGTATCAGTCAAAACAAGGCTGTGCAGAGAGTGAAATGGCTGAGCAGGGATTTGACAGAACACAGCAGGTCCCAGTTCCTCTCCAGGTCAGGAGGTGACAGCAGGCTTGAGCCACACATGATTCATTCAGCATAGGCACTGCTGCCCAAGCTGTTATCAAGCTCACATGCTCTGCCAGAGGCCTGGCAGCAAGGAATCATCCCACATACCCACAACTGCTCCTCCCAGGCCAGTGCTCCTCCTCTGACAGCTGCTGCAATCAGCCTGTTTCACTGGAGGACCTGCTCCCTTTCTGCTCTGGACTCTGACTCCCATGGGTGTCTCCCTGCCACATCAGCAAACAGGCTCACTGCAAACCCACAGCCAGTGTTTGCTGCAGCCAGGATTAGCATCCTGATCTCCCCACGGGATTCCATACACATGCAGGGACAGGACTGTCCCAAGGAGGATCAGCTCTCTGTGCTGTCTCCAGAATGGCAATGCAATATGCAAAGCCAAGAAAGGCAACACAGCACATGAAGGAGGGAAGAAGAGAGATTTTTGCCCTCGAAAGTAAATGTGGACATGACTGAATTTGGTTCTACTCTTGCTTGCAGGGGCAAAACAAATCACTATCCATATCTGCTTTAATTTCACTGCCCTCAGAAGATACTGGAAGGGAAAACGTTCACAGGATACTGGAAGAACAAAGGGGTTTTCCATAGCAAACACCTGGGACAAGTGGCATCTCCAACAGGCCAGTTCTGGCCTAAAGCAGGTGAGGTGGATCTTATTTCAGGAAGAAGAGCTGCACTATTCATGCAGGGGTGTCTGCTGGCCCTTGGGGATGTTCTCTTTGCCAGCAGGAGCATCCAGGCTCTGTCTTCTCCCAGCTATGAACACAGTACTTTCCACCCAGCTCCTCCTGGCCCCCTGGAGACCCTCACCCTGCGTGTGCCCATCATGCACAGCAGCTCAAGCACTGCCAAACATGCTGCCCTGCTTCTGGATGACCTGGATGCAAGCAGCAGGCAGAATCCATTAATCGCCTCCAGTCTCCAGAAATAAGACAGTGTCAGAGCAACTTGTTCCTCATCACTATGCAGCACAGCCTCCCCAGTGGAGGTTTTCAAGGAAACAGCAGCAGAGAACACCTCTGAATGACTGAGCTTGGGATTCCCAAAGGGATCTGTGGGCACCAAGCACTTGACTCCAGCTGAAAAAACTGATGTAAACACAGCTTGATACTTTGGTCTTCATTTTGACCCAGGCAGAGTGATGACTTAATCATAACTGAAGCCAGCACAGATTCTGTCCACACAGCAAAAGGAGATGACTACCAGATGTCACTAAACTTATGCTAGCTTAAATCAAGCCAACCCACAGGGCTAAATAACCATGAGAGAGATGGAGGGATGAAAGCTTTAGCATGTATGAACAATGCCACACACTGCAGCTGTTAGCTAGTATATGAGAATGTCCAACCACACCAACCTGGCCTGAGATCCTGGTGGGTCTGAAGCCTCACGTGCTCACACAATGCATGGCAGAGACCAGAGGGGACAATTACTGTCTGAGGTTCTCCTCCCAGCCAGATGACACTGATTAACTCTAGCCAACATTATTTACTCCACTCAGGTTTCCAAATGACCTCCCTTTCTCACTCCAGTGCCTGGCAGTCTCTAACAGAGTCAAGAGCTTCACAAATATCATGCCCAAATAGCTTGAGCAGTGGTTCAGAAAATTAGGCAGTGATCAAAGTGCTGATGTGGAGGGAATCACCTCTCTTGGAAACACCACAGCTCATCACATCACCTGGGGAGAGGGACTCCATACCAGCATCAAGTACTCACCTACCACAGGTGGCCAAGTTTAGGGGTCTGACAAGTTGGGAGGTGTTGCCAGAGCTCTGTGGCCTGGGACCAACCTTCTTTAAGTGTGTATTTCTTTGGCTAAAGGAGAACATTGCTCAGTCACACCGTGCACTGAGAAGGCAGGATGATATTGACCTTTTACTCCATCACACAACTCTAAGTGCTCCAGTGCATTCCTGAAACTCTGTCTGGACCCCAGGAAATAAAATGGGGCCGATACCTACTCACCATACATGGGATTCAGCAGTCAGACAGAAATGAGACTATCTGATCCCAAAGAGCAGACATCCATCTGCACTCAGTGAGAGCAAACACAACCTTCAGCAAAGAGCATGGCCAAATGGGTCTGGTCCAGAGCAGATGGCAAGACAAGACAGAGCCAGAGCACAGAAACAGACAGCAACAAGGAGCAGGTTGTGAACACAAGCTCTTAAAAGAAACCTGTTCATTTAGTGTGTGCCCAGTACTATCATGACACCTGAACCAGCTTCAGGGACTGCACTAGGACCAGTCATCAGCCTGAGGCCCAAGAGCCTCATCTCTCCTCAGACACTCAATGAAGACCAAAGCCTCTCATCAAAGCCACTTTCCAGGCAGTTATTCTGATTTGCCTCAACTTCCTTGCACTGCTTGACATGCCTTGAGGCTTCTGCTAATTCTCAATTTCCAATTCCCCCAAACTAAAGGCAGAGCATGTGAGAAGACAAGAGGGGATGTATGACTTGATGCCTGGCTGCATGTTCACAGCAACCCTTCCAACCTTCTCCAGTTCAGGGCACCAAACAGGAAAGGAGACAGACCTGAACCAACCTTAAAGAGAATTGCAAAATCAAGCAGCAGCTTAGGGTTGGGAGGTAAGATGAGGCTATATTTTAGTTAGTCTAAGAAAGAAAGTTCCATCCATTTTCATTAGGAAAGCACTTTGGCTGGATCTCAGGTTTCACAGAGAGAGTGAGCACTGAAGGTTATTGCACTCTCACCACTGGTCACATGTAGCACATACTGAACAGGTTAATATTCTTCTTCTCTGTCCAGTGACTAGGGAATGCTCTCTGGCTGCTCTACCCACACTCACACTGCTGCTCAGACAGCAAAGACCAACAGCATCTGTGTCTCCTTCACCTTACCTGAACGTGGACTCTGTGAGTGCTCCCACACAAACAATCCCCTCCAATGCTAAAACCTAAATGATGCTAAGTTTCAACAACTAATACAAGAAAATTTCAGCATCTCTAACACCTGCACAAATGCTCTCACTACACTCCAGAAATTGATTTAGCAGAGCACCCAGGTTATACGGTCGGTTGCACTGGTCAGAAATAGCTGCACTGGATTGATGTTCAAGGACCACAAGCAAAAGGCCAAATTAAATTGATGGGAACAAGCGAAAATCGTTCTGTAATCACAGAACAAATTCACAGACTTCACCATAGATCTGTGAGCCCTGATCTTGGTGAATGCTGGCTGGCAGACAAGAATTGAGGCAGGCCATTACTTTTTTTTTTTTGCAGCATAAAGTCAAGGATGAAGGATATAAAAATTTAGAGACCTGCATTAGAAGTCTCACACAGTGGCAAGTTATGGGATTTCGCAGGCAGGGAGGAAAACAGATTTAAAAGCTGCAATCCTAGTTATTTTTAGAGGGAGAAATATTGCAGTTATGCTCTACATCTCTGAAGTTGTATTAGAGAACCAGTTAACCATGTTTATTTGCCACAGAGCTAGGAGGAAAGGAGTAAAAGCTAACAATCTCTTTATGGCCATAGCTAGAAAAATTCCACAAAGCCATCCAGGCTGCAGGTGCCTGTGTGGTTTTTTTCCCTCTTCACAAACCAAAGTTAGCACCACTGTGTGTGTTTGAGCCTGCCTGTCCTCCAGCCAAGCCTCCCAAATCTCATCCCAGGCTGTCTCCCAAGTGTCCAGGCACAGGGAAGAGCCCACACGTGCTCTGCACAGACAGACAGGTGAATGCTGCTGAGCCCCATCTCTCCACAGCTCTATTTTACCTCTCTCTGTTCACTGCAGATCTTGCACAGCCAAAGAGGACGTTTCTGGGCTCCAACAGTTTCTATTCCACACTTGGTACAAACTTTCTGAAACAAGGAGAGAGAGGAAAAAAAAAAAAAAAAAAGAAGAAAAAAAAAGCGGTGTTAGCAACTCCTCATAGCCACAGAGAGCCCTTGGGAGAGAGAAGGCTGAGAAGTATCTGTCCAAACAGCTCTGTTCTGCTTTCCTTAGAAACCTAAGCATGGCACGATTTTCCTATTTATCCTGGAGAACCATTGATTGCAGGAAGCTGCTTCAGGTCAATATGGGCATGAGATATCTACAGCAGAGCCTCTGACTCCAAAGCAAGAACACAACTGGACAGGGCAAATCAAACCTCATGACCCATAGGCATATTTCCAGAGTGCTTTTTTTTTTTTTTTTTGTTCCTCTAAATAAATCCTAATCCTGTGGCATGAAAAGCAACTGTAACCAAGTCCAAGTGCAAGACTGGAAGTCCTCTCCTCCCTTCCCTCACTCATGTAGCTTTAAAACCCACACACTCACTGCTATTGATTTGTGGATCTTTGGGAAGTGGGCACAACTGTGGCTACACACATTGCCTGATAGTGCTGCACAGCCCTTATTGCTGCACAAGGGAGCTCAGCTGGCATTACAAGCCATTTACAGCCTGAATCACCCAATATTATATAATGAAGCTGATGCCTATCAGCCTTGGCATACAGCTTGAATGAGAAATTGGCTCAATTCTTTGATCCTGGAGAGCAAAACCTTGCTGAGACACATGAGAACTTAATCTCCCCAGGTAAGATCTTACATATGTCCCTAACAAGGCTGTGAACCAGCAGGTCTGTGGTCAGGGATGAAAGTCTCAGTGGCTCACTCAGCCCTCACAGTGCCCAGATTTGAGTGGCAGAAGGATGGTACCTGTGGCATGAATATTGCATGAATAAAGGATCAAGTATTTTTGGTCAGTGTAGCCCAAAGACAGGTCTGTCCCCAATTCACGCTGCACAGAAAGGATGGAGGCACCAGCAGCTCCACAGAGGTTGGTGCTCTTCTTCATCTCACTGTTCCTGTCCTCATCCTCCCAGAGAAGTAAGGAACAACCTATTGGATCTGCTGCATCAATACTCAACATGGTGCTACCCAAGCCAAGGAGGATTTGCAGATGCAACTAGTAGACACCACCTGAACTAGCCCAAATTCTCCTCTCAACCCAAAATTTGAGGGAGCAGCCCAGTCTGAAGTACCCTCAAAGATCCCAGTTCCCACTCAGATAGCACATTCAAACGCTCCCTCTAGTGGAAGTTTCCAAGTGATTTTATTCCTAGCCATAAATTTTGAAAATTCCAATATAAACCAGGGCTTTCCTCCTCCCTTTCTCTGCAGACGAGCTGGAAAATTGAGCATCACTCACAGCCCCTCAGAAGAAGACATAAAAATCAAAGGCATTAAATGCAGCCTCATTCCTTATTAAATACAAGACAAAGCACTTTCTTCTACTCATACTTCACCTTTTATACATGACACTGATCCTCTCTGCATGGTAAATGCCAAGTTGTGCTTTGTCTAACTACTGCTGCTGTTAGCACATATGGATTTGCATACATCTTTGTCTTGCCATGATGCCTTTATTTCTAAGATCATAAAAAACAATATTAAAAGCATTCTTCATAAAGCAGAAAGTGGCATTTCGAAGATCCATTAGGCTTCAAGAAATGCAGAGCCTCTATTCAGCAGAAGGGACTTGCTGGAGCTAAGTCCTTTGCTATGTTTCAGATGCATCATTACAATCCCTGTTATTGGACTAAACAGGCTGCAATGAGATGGTAACAGAACAATTCCAGCAAGAAAAATATGAACTTTAAGAATCCATAATTCCCTGACAAATTGCTTATTGCATACAGCACTGCATGAGTGATGGATATCCGTGGACGAGAGGGAACAAGCTGAAAGTAACAGTTCAGTCTGTGCTTTGCCAAAGGGTTGACTGTTCCCTGAGCTCACTCCACAACATTAAAAAGCAGTAAGGAGAGAAGCCCAGGGCACCCAGGCAGCATTGCCCTGAGCTTGGCACACAGCTGAAAAGTGCAGCCAAGCTGAAAACAGCTACAAAATGCATGCTGGAAAAATAGTCTCCCCTGAAATCAACCTGGATATGAATGCTCCTGAACTGCCCAACAGAGTCCAGACAAAGAGGGAATAATCATTTTTTAAAAAAAGGAAAAAAGCCAGCCCCTCTGGAGTTTTCTGGTCACAGAGCCTCAGGCTCATGCTGTCTAACCAGCTGGGGGTTACTACCTGCAGCTGCAAATGGACAGGGCTGGGAAATGTCTGAATCAGCTTCTGCTTCCTCAATAGTGCACAGGGCTCAGAGGAGGGAGGTTGGAAAGCCCTGTGGCAATGTGACCTAGCTGGCTTCCGACAAGGTGAGAGCAGAATTGCCAAGGGAAAAAGGCAGGAATAGAGCACATCCTGTTATTCCACATGCTTGAAATACAGGAAGCAGCCAGCCGTGTCCTGCCTGTGGTCCAGCCCTTTCTTCTCCACAGGCCATGAGCACAGATCCTACACTCACAGCTGACCTGCAGCTCCCATTCAAACCACACCTTGCACCTCCCAGGGCACCACTGCTGCTTCCCTCCCCACCCTTTGCTAAAAGGCTGCTTCTCCCCTGCTTCTGACCCAGGGGCTCCAAGATTTGTGTTTCCATTCCCAGTCACTGCCTTATCTTCTTCTGCCTAATCCCTGTCTCAGCCCAGTTACTCCTGCTAACTGGAACCAGTGGAGAAACCTACTTGACATCAAAGGCAGCACAGCTCACATCAGCTCCTGGGCCCATGAGTGTGATGGAGGGTCTGGCTGCATGGGCACCCACCTCCCTTTCCTCTCCTGCAAGAGCTCTAAGCCCAGCAATGCTGCAGCCAACCATGAAGCAGAGCAGGTCCAACTCCACAGGACATCTCCTCAGGGCAGTGACATTGGTGCCAGTACCCAACAGGGCCAGAGCCAGCAGAGGCTGCTCCCTTCCACCATCGAGTCAGAAACACTTCTGCACCCAACTGATACCTTCACCTCTCCACAGGCAACACACTGAAATGAAGGAACTCACAGAGGTGTCTCCCCAGGGAAAGATGGGCTGGGTGTGCAGGAAAACCAGTCTCCCAGCAGAGGCAGGATAAGGTGGTTGCCTTGGAGATGATCATCTCCACAGCAATACAGGTTAACCCCTTGGCTGCCCAGTCTGGACCAGCAGCAATCACCCCTGGGGTGCTGGCAGAGCAGGAGTCTCCCTGAAAACAGGTACAGCCTCTCAAGCAGCACCCACAACAGAGGCAGCCACTGACGCACAGAGCTGGAAACCTCCCACTGGTTTGGAACTTGAGGATGGAGTTGAGTCTGTCTCAGTCCAGACGTGTTACCGGGAGCATGCAGGAAGCTGTGTGACCAGACTCACCTTTTTGCAGTCCTGGCAGAAGACAGAGGTGCTGCCCAGCAGCCCCAGCAGCTCACTGCAGAGCAGGCACTGGGAGAGGCCGTTCCCCATCGCGTTCTTCCTCATGTTCTCCAGCCTCTCCACCAGGCGCCTGAGGGGAAGAGGCAGAGCAGAGGTCACAGCACTCACCTTGGAAATGGAAGCACCTGGTACTGAGGTATGCCAAAAAAACTGCTCCAGACTCAGCCTACCTCTGCTTCTTCTGCACATTCTGGGCCCCTTGCTGGGACCATATGTACTTTCACTTCAGTCTCTGCACTCTGTTCTCTCAGCTGGATTTTGGTCTTCAGGAAATACAAACCCCTGTAAGTTCATCTCTCAATGTTCACTGAGCCCAGAATAATCAGGCTGGGAATATCACCAGCTCAGCTACTGGGCACAGGGCAGAGACCACACACAAAGGGCTCCTACATCCTTCAGGAGAGCTCAGTGTCACTGAGGTCACAGTCTCAGCACAAAGATTTCCTGCCTGTAGAGCAGGAAATCCTTTTAGTGCTCAGACCAGGGCAAGTCAGACAGCACTGGGAAAGGGCAGAGGAGTTAGACTTGCCAAGCCCTCTCCATTTTTACATCTACTCCCTGAAAGCAGCACTGCAAGCACATGACTTGCCCACAGGCCATTAGAAGCAGGAAGGCCAGACTGAAGCCATCAGACCAAAATGAGCTTGGCTGCAGTATGGAATGGCAGTAAGTGCTCTCTGCCTCGTTCCACAGCCCTTCTGCAAGACAGGAAGCACATATGTATGCACAATGTCCATAACAGCAGAACTAGGGAAGGGAAGGAAGGCAGGAGAAGCAATTAGGATGCAGGATGTGGAGAGCAAGGCTGCTGTCATGAGATCACTGCTTGGCAATCTTCAGGCACCCGTTTGGAGATGGGGCAGTGACAGCCAGGCCATCCATCAGAGGCTGTGACCAGCCACAGCCATCCACGTGCCTGGCTCAGGGAAGAAGTGATCCTGCTATCCATGCAATCCCATCCTCATTAACACTAATGTCCCATCAACCAAGTCCCTACTGAGAGGAAGGCAAGGTCTGTTTGGAAGAGGTACTGCCCGTGGTGATGAGGTCAGACTGCACAGCCAGACTGAGTCATCATTAGTGGATTTATGATCCCTGACTTTGGCACAAGAGAACTCCCAGGAGTTAACAAAGGCATTTCAGGGAATGCTCCAGCACGGGAACAGCAAGGATATTGCTTGTTGCAGCTACACCAACAACCACACAGGAACAAGCAGCCCCTCAGGGTCACTGGCTGCTGCTGCTGGGTTCTCCCATTTATCACACAAACATCACTGTCAGTTCTCCTTAGCACTCACAGGGAAGTGGAGAGGCAGGAAGCTGGGCCTGCTGGTCACAGGCTGGGAGTCACTGGGGTTTCCTGTCTCAAGAACACAAAACACTGCCAGGAAATGCTGCAGGGCTGATGAACTCCCCAGCTTTAAAGGTAGTAAGTGTAGGACAACCAGAGACACAGTCTAAGGCCAGACCTCCAGCAGGACTGAAAGCAAATGGAAAACTGCAGCAGCAAAAGGATGCCTGTAAATTAAATAATTCAAGCCAGCAAACACCATCCAGAGGGCTCAGCCAACTAGAACATAAACTCATTCGCTGCTCCAGGCAAAATCCCAGGGGACTGGCGTGGACAAGGGAAAACCTGAGTGCACTGCCAGCAGCAGTCTGTGAGCCATCCATCCACCAGCACTGGGCACAGCTTGGCATCTTCCCAGCCTCTTCCAGAGCCACTGGGGCAGATGTCTTAGCACAGGCTGCATTTTCCAGGGACAGTGTCAGGGCTGCAGCCACAGCAAGCCCCAAGGCTCAAAGAAGGCATAAGGTTTAGGATATGGGAAGAAGGAAAACATCTCATCCTTCCCAATGTTCATCACCTCCAAACAAGCAACACGGGAGGGGAAAATAACTGACCTAAGGGATGCTCTGACTGATGGAGGCTGAGCTCAGGCAGCTGGGAGAGCCACTCCTCTGTCTGTGCTGACCTTTCCTTTGGAGGGAAGGGGACAAAGGAATGTGACTGTACCCAATGCGCTGCTGCTCGATGATGTCCAGTTTCTCTGCCTTGCGGATGACTTCCAGAATGACCTCAAGTTCCTTTGAGCTCAGAGCCTGCATCTTCCTCTGCTTCTCAGTCTGGAATGTGTGCACTGACCAGCCCGTCTGGAGCCTGTGGGAGAGGGGTGGAGGGCAGAATTCAGCTGTGAAAGGAAAGCACAAAACCCCTGCCCTGCCCCATGGGCCAAACCTGCCAGGCACACAGACCCACGTCAGCCTTCCATCAGAGAGATCTGTTCCATGACTAACACCCAGAGCAGGAGTCTCCTCTCACTGACCACATCACCACATCACTCCTCCAGCAGCACTAAGTGCTGTGCTGTCTCTCCCTGCCCTCTTCCCTTTCTGCTCCAGTTTGTATTCCACCACTCCAAGCCCTCACTCCTGTTAGCCCATAAAGAAAACTAGTGCCCTGGGGCTGGCTCTCCTGGGGATACCTTTGCAGAGATGGGTGCTGATGCCAGACACCACAAATGCCAACAGCAGACTCCCAAACTTAGGGATTACCTGCACTCTGCTCCCTCCTGATCACACATTTCTAAGGTCCTCAGTTTGAACACACAAATCACTGGGCACGCTTGGAAATACAAATTGGGCAATTTCCTCCCTTGGTCTAAACCCAGGTTCACACAAGGACTTTAACAAGCCACTTCCCTCTGTGCCTCATATACAGCCGCTGATGCTTCTCCTTGGCTCACTTAGCAACAGGCAGGAGCTTTCACAGCTCAATTAATTACCATTCAGGAGAGGTTTAGAGGTCAGTGGATGAAGTTATGGCTGTTAGCAGAACAGAGGGCACTCTCGGGCACAAACGTCTTACTGAGGCTTTGAGGCACAGGCTGGAGAAGTGGCAGTGGTGTGCACTGTTCATGGTCAGGCAGTCCCCCCAAAACACAGGGTATCCTCCTTTTTCCAACACTCTGCAGCAGCAGGCTGACCCCAGGGGTTCAGACAAATGCAGAGGTGGCAGTGGCAAAGTACTGGCTGCCAGAGAAGGAAAGGATCCAAGAAACAAATGCAGTTCCAGAGCTTGACTCATCTCCATCCTTTTAAGTCTTTAGGTTATGCAGTAATTTTAACTTCAGGGGGAAAATGAGATCAAGTGACAAGTTCCTAAAACAAAAGAGTGCTGGCAGCTGGGGGATGCTATCAGTTATATTTAGGGTGCTGCAGAGATAAGGCTTGGAGGCAAGCTCCTTTCTTTCACCTTGGGGAGGGCTGGTGGGATGGACTCCCACTGCAAACTCTACTGCAGGTTGGCAGCTCCAAGCAGCTCAGCAGGTTCCTATTCCACCCCCACAGGGTACAGAGGGGTCAGCGTGCCAGGCAAACCTCTGCCTCCCAAACAGGCTGTGGATGAGGCCAGTGCTCCACATAGATAGCAGGAAACCATTCAGGCTAGAACAGAGGCTGGAAAGAGAGGAAGAGGACTCACTTGGCACGCAGTGCCAGCTGCCGGTCGTTGGGGCATACCCACTGGCCCGTCCCGCTGCCGAAAATCATATCAGCCATGGTACAAGGAGAACTGGCAGGGATCACACCTGTAAGAAGCAAACACCAGCACTGAGCACAGCTGTCACTCCACCTTCAGTAAAGTACAGGGCAGCACTTTTCAGAGCTTTATGAACCATACCCAAGGGCCACACTCCTGGCAAACAAAACGGAGGCGATTTGCTGGCACACGGTGGAAGGAGACAGACTCTCACCCACAGACAGCGATAAAAACATGCCATCCTCCTCATAAAATATAGGCCAATAAATACCTTCAAATACCTTGAAGGCAAAGCTGGAAGTTTAGATTTTATGGAACTCTCAAAAAAAAAAAAAAAAAAAAAGCCAGACGCTCTTTGTCAGCTCTGATTTTTCATTTCAAACTAGAGAAAAGTGTTGTCTGTAGGAATAGTCTCTGCACCCCCATCCCTAGAGCCCCAGTGCTGCAGCACTGACAGAAAGCCACTCTAAAGGACACAAAGAAGGTAGTTGCCTTTTTTTGCACCTCTTAATGGGGTAACAAACAAAAACCCACACAACAATCAGCACGAATAGCGGCAAGTCATTTTGTTCATTAAAACTGCCTCCATAATAGTCTGATATTTATAACTACAACCTACAATAGCAGCTTGTTTGCATTCTCTGATGCTTAAGACAGCACCTCTTGCTGCAGCTCCTGTCCCTGGCATGGTCACACCGGTGATTCCTTGTATTCAGTCACAATTAACACTGAGCTGATCAGCAAAGGCAGCAAGAACCAACTTCCATGTGCCCATGGGAGAAACATCCCCAAAAGAGACTTTGCAGCTAAGCAGATCTGAGTTCTCCCAGCAGCTCAGGTGAATAGCAAACACCAAGGGACAGGCACAGCCAAAAGATTTCAATGACTGCAAAACTAGACTTGATGTACTGAGCTTTTAACCAGCTGGATTTGTTCTGCAGCAGAGCAAGTGTCTCACAAGTCCTAATGCATAAATTTCCAGGTATTAATACTTACCTTCCCCAGAACAGACACTTGCCAGCTTTGAAACCATACCTGCTGGGCAGAGATAACGTGTTTAATGTTGGCTGGCAAACACAAATCAGATACAATAGAGAGGTATATCACCTGCCAACTGGGCTGTAGCTCCCAAGAAAACACATGTTCCAGTCTCCATCCACAGAGCACACGTAGCCAGCAGTGCCTGTGGTTCAGCATGCTGCACCTACTCCTGCTATCTGCTGCTGCCACACAGAGCTCTCTGCTGATGTGCCAGGCACAGAGGCATCACAGGCTGACAGCCTTGGCCCTCTGACACAGGAACACACACAGTTTGTGCAGATGGGTCTCTCCTTCCCTATGCTGAGCTCACCCCCCAGCACAGAAACACTAACCCCTGTCAGAGAACTTACAACTCTCTCCTGCCAAACCCCACGTCGGTCCTGAGTGCCAAACCAGTTACAAAGAGTGGACCAGTTCCCTCCTCTCTGGCCATTTGATTTCTGGATAGAGTCTGTAAACTCAGTGTTTATAACAGGCAGAAGAGACAAGGGGAAATTCCATGTGGAGCACAGATTTCTTGCAGTGCAAGGAACAGGTGCATTAAAAGGGTGAAGGCTCAGCACAGTGTTCAGCAGCACAGACCAACTGAGCAGCAAAGTGAGGCATGGAAGAGATGGGAGGCTGCAGGAAAGAGGGCTAAGACAGACAAAAGTATCACACACAATTTCTTAAACCTCCATTAGCTCAGGTGATCACTTTTGAAAGGGACCATCTCTAGAAGAAACCTTGAACCTTGGTAGCTTCAATTTACCAACTGCTTTCTCTGCTCTGTGCCATTTATGCTGTGGGTTTGCATTTCCATTTGGTCCCAGAACACCTCCTGCTCTTTTCATCTTCTGCATGATCTCAGGCGAGGAGAGAACACCATCCCCACACACATCCCACAGCAGCTCACACACAGGGGAGCAATCAAGCATGAACAGCAGAAGACTACAGCAGCTCCCACCCCCAGGCCAGGGTTAGAAGCAGAGAGAAGCTACAATTTCACACAGAATGGCTGACCTAGGATTTTCCAGAGATTTTCCAAGCCTGTGGTGTTTGGTTACAGGATTATATGCACATGTAACAACCCCCCCAAAATGCATATATTAAATTACTCTTTAGCTATACCATTAATTCCTCCCTCCCACTCTGGCACACCTGAAATATTAAATTACTCTTTAGCTATACCATGAATTCCTCCCTCCCACTCAGGCACACCTGAATAGCACAGCCCACGCTCTGTGTCTGTGGCCACACCGACATGAGCAGCCCCTGGTAGCTGTGGGATGGATGCTTAGCATAAAAGCTGGAGATGAGTCCCACATCACAGTCAGGGCAGTTTGCTTTGCCAGCAGCTATGCTTTCAGGGTGGAAAGCTGTGTTGAAAACATCTGCCCCTCCTCAGCAGAGCTTTATCTGTTCTAACAGAGCTGAAGGCAAGTCAGAATAGAGCACATCAGCTGAGTATTTCTCTCAGGAGAGACCTAAACACATTCTCCAGCCTCCCAGCACAGTGTGCTTTGCTCAGCATGACTGAACAAAAACAAGCAATGTCATGCTCTTTTGCCTCCTGTTACTCAGCATACGCTTTCTGTTCTCCACCATTCCCTCAGCAGCATCTGCAAACAGAGAAGGAAAACAAAACACAGCCTAAAGAGCCATCACATCCCAAAACAATCTTCAGAGAGATTATTCCCCAAGATATTTACAGTATTTTTTTTTCCCGTGGCATTGGGTATGAGCTGTTTCTTCTGATCTAAGCTGGCACTGCAGGTGGCTTTGCACATTTGCCTCTGAAAAAAAAAGCCCTGTGGGGTTTGACACAACTACCTGGGAGGAGGAAACAAGAATGGCATGGGACTGCAGGTCACAGTCTGCTGGTTGGAAACAGGCACACTACCAGGACTGGAGGGAAAGGACTCACATGGCCACGAAAATGATGCCAGAGGAATGGTACCAGTATCTGCAAACTATGAAGCATCTTCCCTCTTATCTCTGTACAGAACAAGATGTACAGTGGGAACAGAAACACCAAGATAACAAAACCAGGCCAGCCTGGGGAGTTATTTCCATGGGCTGTGGTGAAACATCCCTCTCTTGCAGTCTCTTGTGTTCTCTCTCAAAAATACTTGAGTTAGCAACTACCATACCAAGCCATTCCCTCCCTGTTCTCCTCTCAATAAACTTAATGAAGAATAGAAGCAGCCAGTCTCTATCAGGGAGAGAGCAAGAGAAATCCACTGCTCCTAATGTATTTACAAGTACACTGCACACAGGCTAACAGCAAAGCACAAGTACTCAGTGATACAGAAAGAAAACTTCCCACTCCAAGATCCTGCTTTTCACTTGAATTCAGAACTAAAGGGGAGCTCTTAGCGATATTCTCTGACCTGCTTTAAAAACCCTCCACCTGTTTGTTCCTTTCCCATGATGGAGGAAGTGATGTGAAACAAAACCTCATTAAATCTGAGTCCACCTGGCTGCTCTTGGCACAGGGGGAAGGAGAGCTGCCCCCAGAGAGCTGCCCCTCTGCATGGGGCCAGGAGCATCTCAGGGGATGCAGAACAGAGCTCTGACGTAGCTCTGCTTCTGCTGTCTCCATGATAAGACTTGTCCTCTGCAGCCAGAGAACAAGACATCTGAGAAAATGACTTCAGTCTGCAAGAGAGAAGTCTCCTGGGGGGGTCTGAGCGAAGGGAATGATGATGCACCCACACAGCCCTTTGACATGATGCTTTTCAAAGAATTTCAGGCTCTTCTGTGCAAGAAGGCCAGTTTTCCCAGCACAACAGCTACATGAACATATGGATCTTCACCTCAATACCAGAGCACAGTCACAGCAGGTCATGCCAAAGGTCCAGTGAGCACAGTACCTGCTATCCCACCAGCCCCAAGAGCAGATGCTTAGAGGAGTTTAAGAGCAGAGCACAACACAGCAATACTTCTCCAGATTACCCTCCCAGCCTCCAGAGACTCCTGGATCATGCACTCCCTCAGCCAGGCTGTAGCTGCGTTTAACACCCTTAACATTTTTCTCTCCCAGTTTGCTTTTTCAGCTCATGTACTTTTAGCATCACCTCACTACACCAAGCCCCTTCCCCACTCCTCTACCTCAAATATATTTTGCCTTTACCTTGACTACACCGAAGTTAAAACTGAAGGATTCTGCTGACATTGAGGCAATCACTGCAAGCAGCAAACACCTCCTCAGGCAGCAACAGCACAGCCTGCACCAGCCCTTCTACAGCTGATTACAGGTGCCCATGAAGCATTAATTCCCCAGAGCCTTGCAAATACAAAAATGTCCTACACAGGCCCATGAGAATCTCTCCAGTCAGCTTTCATTTGCCTGGTTATTTCAGCTGAGCAGCTCGTGTCTCTATTAATTTGTTTTCATAAGAAATTAATTAGGCAAATTTTTTTTAAGTACTCCATTAAAAAAAATTATAATTAAACAGTTGGCCAGAGATGAGTTCCCCCATTCCCAAGCCTCACTGTACCTGTGTAATTAACTCTTCTGCTTCCAGGGCATCACCTCCCCCAGGACTCCCAGTTTGCACCAGGTACCTGCTGGTCTGTTTTTCCTTTAAGTGGCTGCTCCCTCAAAGAAGCAGTGTAATTACTCTCTGCTCCACACACCAGACCCCATTATCCCCGGGAAACCTTAGCAACTAAGTGAGTGTTTGCTCGTGTTGCTATGACAAAGGATAAATGGCTGGTGGAGATTGATAAGGTTACTCCAGTCTCTGCCTCCCACCCACCGGCCAGTCCCTTTTCCTGCCAGACACCAAGGAGACAAGGGTGAGCAGGCAGGGAAAAGCTGTTTGCTCCACACACATCTTCCCCTCATGTTTTAAAGATCCTAGTGCCACAGTTCTATTTCAAAGCACATGACTGTTTTCAAGTGACAAAATAACCCTTGGGGCCGTAGAAGTGTGGCAGAAGATGTGCACATGGCTTTGAAGATCTGGCCAAGCCTAACTAGAGCAGAGGAGTA